GCTCTTCCGTATCCCTGACTATATGTACAAGTCATAGTACAGCTATAAATTAGTTCCTCATGTCTTCCAAGACTGCCACACCAAGGCTAAGCTATTACATAGGTATGTTTTTATTTCATATTCTACAGGCATACTGAGATGTATGGAGCTTTTTTTATAGCTGCTAAAATTAGAAGAAATGTTAGAGGTGTTATAATCTAATGCCCCTCAATTTACAGCAATGAGGATGTATCACTCACTACTGATGACAGTCTAGGGCAGAGCCCTGCTTCTGCAGTCTAAGGAAACACTGTAGATAGGAAACCACGGCCCTTAACCTTGACACCGAGGCAAAGGCATGCCCTGAAACCCTGAGTAAAAGGTGAAGCGTAAACACAAAGGGGTGCCTTCAAGTGCTTGCTTATCAATCTTGGTTACCCTGCTCCGAAGGAGATTTGGCATCATTGCATATTTAAATCTCTGCTGCTCCTGTAGTAAGTGTTGTTTTTGCCTTCCCCTCTGTAGGCCAACATCCAGTCAATCATGGCCTCTGAAAAGCAGGTGAACATCCTAATGAAGTTGCTGGACGAGGCGCTAAAGGAGGTGGATCAGATTGAATTGAAACTGAGCAGTTACGAGGAAATGCTCCAAAGTGTAAAAGAGCAGATGGACCAGATCTCTGAAAGCAACCATCTGATCCATCTCAGTAACACCAATAATGTAAAGCTCCTCTCCGAGATAGAGTTCCTTGTGGTAAGTGTGATTACCCAAGAGCAATGAAACAAGAGACAAGCGATAACAAGGCAAACCCACTTAAAAACGTCTCTTAATTTCCATATGAGTTACGGGGTTAAAATAATTCCGAAGACCTATTGAGAGGTTTGTGTAACATCTGCCTGTACATTTCTCAAAATTGCATGGGTACATGATATACCTCCATGTGTTCCAGAACCACATGGACCTGGCCAAAGGTCACATAAAGGCCCTGCAGGAGGGAGATCTAGCTTCTTCCAGAGGCATCGAGGCATGCACCAACGC